TTCTCTTCCCATTTCTGCACAATTTCCTCTATTTCTCCTTCACAGCTAATCCTCTTACAGCCCCCCTGCACAGACAGCACTTCAGCACGTTACTGCTGCATGCAAATCATCGCATATTCTCTCTAGAGAAAATATTTCTCCAGCTGAAGCAAACACCTACTTCCCTTTCCCCAAGAAAAATGCTGATAGAAAGGCATCTGCTGCAACGGGATTTGTCTGTACGCTGTGGTAGTCAGTTCATTCGAATGACGGGGCTCTTGAAGCCGATACCCTGCAGGCCCTTCGCACGAGAGGCAGCTGCTTTCGTTTCCTCACATCCCGGCATCACTGGATCAGCCCCTTGCTGCTGCAGGCGTGGTGCAGCAGGCTGAGGTACCACAAAAAGGGAAGGAGACACGATAACTGCTTTCGCATCTGCTGCTACCAGCACCGCACCTCCAAGAGGAGGGGCAGAAAACCCAGTTCTTGCTCCAGGCCCCAGCCAGCAGCTTGGCAGGAGCTGTGAACGCATTCCCTCTGCAAGCAGCTGTTTAACCGTGCCAGCGTTCCCCCCTTGCGTGACTTTGAGAGGGTGGGGACAGCCTCCCTGATTGCTTTCTCTATTGAAACCAAACCGCCTTCAGCTGCCAGCTTGGGAATTCCCACTGTTCCTGGTGCATTCACAGACATCTCAACCTCGGTTTTGCTGCGTTAGTCACTGCAGTAATCTGGCGCCTCTTCTTTATACCGGCGATTTTGTAAGCTGAAGCTTACCGAAAACCACAAATCACGGGGGCAGCCGGCAGCAGGCGGCCCCACGCGCGGCGTACCTGCCAAGGCGCTGGTGCTGCCGTGGGCCCAGCAGGACCCGCAGTACTGGGGGATGTGCTGGTTCCGAGTGGTGCTGGCGTAGTTGATGCCGTTGACGTTCCTCCAGTCCCAGCTCGGGGGCAGCGCCGAGACGTCCAGGTACTCGTGCGGGCGGGGGTAGGTCCTGTGGCGGGGCACGAAGAGCTAGCTCCCCTGCCGCCATGCCTGCCTTTTCAGGCAAATGAGGGGATTTTTTTTTTAAAAAAAAAAACAGCTTTTATGGAGTTTCGCAGCGAGGGACCGGCGACGGGCGCGGGTCACGTGACAGCAGGCAGCGTGACCGGTCCCGTGACCGCG